ATTTAACCATCATTTTGAGTTATTTATGCAAATGTATTCTATAATTAATTTTCATTTTTTAAATTTCCTTATTAGGGAATGTACTAGTGATGTTATTGCATCAAGTCTTTAAGAGAGTTTTTTTTTATATTTATTTCATCCACTCATCTCGTTATTTGAATATGAAAAATAACTTACAAGAAAGAGTTTGATGGTGATATGCAAAATAAAAATGAAAGTTTTATGAATATTAAATTATCTTTAATTGTTGTTGATGTTCAATATTTATTTTTATTTTTCTTGACAATCAATTCATAAATTTGCTGGACAACATGAAATAGAACTAAGTTTTCCAGAAAATTCTCTCTTCGACAAAGCTACAATGTACAATGGAAAAAATTTTAAATAAAAATTTAGTGCTTTTTAAAAATGCATGGTAAAACCCACTTAAATTTTTTTTAATAAACAAACCCGTGATATTCTTAATTTTGACAACTTGGTCCGGCATAGAAAAAGAAGAAATAAAGAAAAAGGAGGAAAGTGAATAAGGGAAATTTTGACAATTTGGTCCACCAATTTGAACTTTAGCAGGGTGATTAAGGGCAATTTTGTCTCTTTTTACTATATGGGATGGGTTTAGGCATATAGGAAGCTGAGAGGATGTGATACATCCATAATAACATTTTTTGAATCTAGATCATTTAAATTAGAAAAAAAAAATCCAAATGCCGCCCAGAAATAACATTTGCTGATTGCATTGACGTGCCATAATTTCTGTTTTAAGTGGAGTTATAGAGCCTACAAATCCAATTACAAAGCTCATTAAGGGTCCAAATGACCTTCTTAAATGAAGAACCCACTGCCGTCATTTTTAACCCAAAAACTTCACTTCTTTCCTGGGCTTTGGGCTGTTTTCAAAGCACTCCTCAAGCCCATTACCTGTAGGTTCAATTATTAATGCATTTCACGTTAAGGCTTAAACCCCCCATTAACTTGGACTTGCTGTGGTTGTAGGAGTACACTTATTCATTAAGCTTTCTTAAAACACTTGAAAGATTTTTAAACTAGGGGCGTTAATTTTGCCATTAACATGTTCAGTTCACTAGAAATTGCATAAGCACTTCACAAAAACTATACCGGAAGAAAGCGATTTTTGACGCTTGATATTGGTTTAAGACGTAATGAACTCGTCGCAAGTGTTTCCCGTTAAACCTCAAAAACAGTACCGACTTCTCGCAAATCATCAACTTTGTATTTCTTGTGCTTTAATAGTTTCATCGGATGATATAAGGAACTAACTTCATACAACATGCCAAGTTCACGCCTTCATTTTGTTTAAAGCAAGTCATTCTATCCGAAGATAAAGGAAAGGCAAAGAATTACATTCTTGGGACCTAATGATCGAGTTATGATGAGAAGAAAATGAGCATCATTCCATACAATTCTTGAGGTGCGAAATTTCTAAGGTCTTATCAACATGGCTGGCTCGTTGGGTTATGTTGTCTTCAGCAACAACCACAACAAAAGCAAGGAACCCTTAAGACTTCTCAATAGATCTTCTACTTCTTCTATGCTAACGTAGGTTCAAACTAGACATAGTAGTATATTAAAATGATTTATTGCCACTTTTGATTACATTGCCCAAGCATATACACCGTAACGGCTGGCAGGTACATAATCAGTATCACTACGAAACATTGATCTACACAGCAAAACGCTAAAAAATGTCATTGGAGGTTAAAGTGAACTTTACAATTTAAATAAGTAGAAATCCAAAAGCGGCTTAGAACTAACATTGGCTGATTCGTTTGACGTGCCCAAAATTTTGATTTGAGTGGAGTTATGGAACCCACTGATGTCATTTTTGCCCCCAAACAGTCCATTTCTTTCCTGGGTTTATGGCTGTTCGTAGAGCACTCATTAGGCCCATTTCCTGTATATTTAATGATTTGTGTATTTTATGTTTAAGGCGTAAACCCCAACTTAATTTGGACTTGCTGTGGATCTCGGAGTACTTATTCGTTAAGTTTCTCTTATAACAAGTCTTGAGAGAGTTTTCTCTCTAATTGTGCCTTGCGAATACTGCAAATAATTGAGTTGATTTGGTCTTCGGAATATCATTTGTAAATCTCACTATTCTTGAAATCATGAAAAGATAATTGCTAGCCCGATCTCTACTTGATTAAGGTAATATTTATTAAACTAGGGACTAAATATGGCATGCTTATGGCATGTAAACATTCTTAGAGGTGTTAATGCTGTCATTAACTTCTTCAATTCACAAAAATAGCATAAGCACTTCACAGATACTAGAAGAAATGGATTGATGACACTTGTTATTGATTTAAGACGAAATGAACACATTGCAAGTTTTTCCCGTTAAACCTCAAAAACAATACTGACTTTTCAAAAATCATCAACTTGTTTTCTTGTGTTTGAACGGTGGACATATGATGTTGTTTAAAGCAAGTCATCTATACTCAGATAGAGGAGAGGCAAAGAATTACATTCTTCTGACCTAATGTTTGTGTTACGTCGAGTAAAAAGTGAGCCTCAGGCTGTACAATCACTGCAGCTAGCTCGTAGGGTTAGGTGATCTACAACGACGACGACAACAAAAGGAAGGAATCCTAACACTTCTCAGGAGATCACTTGATTCTTATATGTCCATGTAGGTTCAAACTAAAATAGTAGTCCATGAAAATGATTTTGCCTTATTGTCACATTTCTTTTAACATCCAAGCAAATATATCCTAATGGTTTAAGAAGTAAGAGATGAGTAATCTGTTGACATCATAATATTCCGGTCACATAGACGATATAGTATTAGAACTAAACGCGTACTTTGCGCGTTAACCTATTAAACTATAATGCCCCAAATGTGGACATTCAAGAATTGCTTTCTTGTTGTGCATAACTTGCTAGGAATTAATTAAGTCAATGCTGGTAAATCCAATAATAATGCTATGCTTGGAAAAGGATGGATTCCCATTAGATTCTTTTGTACCTTGGCCTACCATAAAAGATAAGGGAGAGCATTAAATTCCGAAAAGGCCATTGACTTATCTCGGCGTTGGATGCCTAAGTCACGCCGTCCATCCAATCGAGCGAAATCAATCACATGGGAGTGTTCTTGGACTGTCTTTTTGAGCTGGTTGCTGCTGAATTTTTCTTTTGTTTCTCACCTGGTGATAAATTCAGTTGAATCCAAAAGAGATAAGTGATGCATTGAACACCCTTCCAATCGTCAATGAGCTTCTAGATGAACATTGGACGAACTTGTCAATATGTTTCAGAATTGACAGAGCACAATCGAGGGAGGTTGTCATGTGATCATTATTGCCTCAAAGCATTATTTGAGTTGTCTTTTCCTTTATGACTTCGCAATTCCACCAATGGGAATTGTGTACACATGTAGCTCGAAGAGTGACAGAGGGTACAGGAATATCTGATAACATTTAGCCTCCAAGAAGTACGGACATAGATGGTGATGATCTAATGATTTGTCCTAAGCACGTAATATTTCAAAAGGATGCTTCTATGGCGTAACTTAGAAAATCAAACGCTGTCAGTGGTCGGTTATCCGCTATTAAAAGGACTAGTCTAGTTTCCAATAAGTAAAAAGGTGAAGTTTTTAAAATTGCTAGTAAGCTATGTATGTTTGTCCATAAAAAAGATACGACTTGTAACTTTTTTATCAAGCAACTAGTTAGTAAATTATTAACATCATAGCGAATCAATTAACGTCATTCGTGAACTATAGCTGCTAACCAGATCAACAGGTTATCAATTGCAAGAATTTATAGACGAGATTTAGAATTCACTACTAGTGTCACATATTTACGAAACGAAACTCTGTTTTTGGCCAACGCAATTTTGGAAATGTCCCTAGAACCATTTGTCACATAACGAGGGACGTTTACTAAGTATCAACAATTATTAGGAGATTGGATAATAGCTTTGACAGGTTAAGAAAAGAATGGTTGAGATTGTTCCGTACTTTTGGGAAAATCATCAATAATGAGATAGTGAACTGTTAGTCTTTCTTCACCTACTTCGACATTCCACTTGCAAGTATGAACGTCGTTCTTTATAAGGAATTAAGAAGCAGACAGATTTGTCGTGATTATAAGATTCCCATTCACATGCTGAACGCGTTAGCTCTGGCTCCAATGCCTCGATCAACATGCACATTGAAGAATAAACAATATTAAAGTCATGTGAATGGATAATGTTTATATATGACTGAGAAAGGATGGATATGAAGGATTTTTCAGCTGGGTGCATAAGTCACACCGTCCATAATATGAAAATAACATCACTCCGATGTGAGTTATTTTTCCTTGGGCTGTTTCTTGTGTAACTCAATCAAGGCTGAATTTTTATGATGAATTCAGTAAAATGCAAATTTTAGAGTGATAGATGGAGCACCTTGCAATCATCGACAAAGCTTCTAGATGAAAATTGATTGGCCCAAAAACCAAAAAAAACAAAAACGCACAACCTCTTAGACAAATTTAATACGACCTTCAAAACGTACAAAAAATATTACAAAATTTTACCACTATAACCATCCAACTTTTGCAAATAATTTATTTTCGGACTACATATCTTTTGGAACGGTTCACTTCCACCACTTCACTAAATGACCGTCCAACTCTGTTTATGAATAACCCAACCAACTTTTGCATAACAAACAACGAGGAGAATGGACTGAATACTTGCTATTTTTATCACAATGGTCACATGTTGTGTTTTTTTGTTGCTGGTTCATTTGGAAAGTAGTATTAGATTTTTCTCGGATAAAACGTGGTGCTATTTTTGTATTTGGCCAAAGTAATGGAGAGTTGTCAAAAGTGTCCGGTCAAAAAGTAAAAAACTTTGCCAATCCTGAATAGAGCACGATCTGGGACGTCGTCACTCGGTCATTTACTCAAAGTCCATCGTGGGTTATCCTTTTTGAAGTACCCAAGAATTCCACAAAAAGAAGTTCACGTGTTAGCTCAGAGACAACGGTGACTGAGTGACCAGAATGTTCGACGACATTTAGGTTGGATTCGTAACGTTACGTACGCCTGTGATGGTTCGCAAGGACGCTGGCATGGCGTAACTTTGAAAATCATTCGCGTACTTTTGTGGTTTCGCTGCTCTTGAAAAGGCCGCACAAGCCTCCCAACAATGCAATCTCTCTCTCTCTCTCTGATTTTTTATGGCTTTGACGTCTTCAGGCGTAGCGCTGTGCGAGAAATTTCAGTGGACTCTGCTTCTGCTTTGATTCATTAAGGTAACAACCCCACTCTTTTGCTTGCTTCGATGTCTATGCACAAATGAGTGAAACTCTCTCTCTCTGTCCCTGAAAATTCTAAGTTCGTATCCTCACACATCGATAGATTCATTCATGGTCATTTCATTTCCGCCGAATGTCATTCACTACAATTAAATGCTTAGCATTTCTACTGTAATCTTCAGTTTAGAAATGGTTTGTCGCTTTGTTAATGGATCTCCTTCCGCTATAAGATCTAAAGCCGAAGAAAAAGACTTCGGATTGTGTGATGCGCAATAGTACTAATTAATTATAAGTTTGGAAGTTCAGTCATTAAGAGAATGGTGTGTGTTGTTTGCTTAGGGACCAAATGACTAGGAAAAGGGACAGATTTTGGGAGTATGCAGAGCAATTGAGTGGTCGCTTCAGGTGTAAATTCTGCAGACGTGATTTCCCCGGTGGAATTCCAAGGGTTAAGTCGCACTTAGCTTGCGTCCCCGGTCGCGATGTTGCTACATGCACCGAGGTTCCTAAGGATGTCCAGGCTATAGCTTTTGAAGCAATTAGCCCTCATAATAGGAAAGACAAGAGTCTGTCTCAACCGACCACTTCAACACCACTTGCAGACATCCAGATAATCGACATGCCAGAAACATCTACAGAGAAAGGACAGGATTGCCTAGATGAGTTGCTTGCAAAACACGTTGTGTTCAATAACATTTCTGAAAATGTCCTTCAGAGTTCGCATTTTGCGAGTTTCTTGCGTGGGGTTGCAAACTATGGGCAGAATTATGAGTTACCCTCTTATTCCGTTCTCACCACAAAGTATATCCCCAAATTCAGTAGGGAAGTCGTTCAATATGTAAATAGTGTCAAGAAATCATGTGATTTAACGGGGTGTACGGTAATTCTAGATAGTTGGGTTAATGTTCACGGTAGAGCCTTCCTGAACATCATTTTATATTCTCTAAAGGGTGCAATCCTAGTTAATACCGTTGAACTTTCGAAGAATGAGTTAACATATAGGTCTATTGTGGATCAATTGCAATTTGTGATGGATGAAATAGTACTTCACAAAGTTGTACAATTTATCACTAATGATTTGGGTAACCATGAGCCCCTCCAGAAGACGCTTATTCAAAGGTATCCAGGTACCTACATGACATTTTGTGCTGCTCACGGCATTCAGTTGCTTTTCGCATATATCTTTCAAGAGGTTGAATGGGTTGGAAGGACGACGTGTGAGGTTAAATTGGTAAATGATAATCTGTACAAGTATGCCGAGTCTTTGTCCCTATTAGTGAAATTTGGAGCCAAAAGGGGATTGAGAGATGTTCTTCCTAATGGTTTAGCCTCAAACTTCAGAATGCTTCAATGCATTCACAATGCAAAATCAGAAATACAACATTTGGTTACATCTACTGAATGGAGACAGTTGAGTCTTGAGGAAGGAACAGCGAGCAAAGTTGTTTCTATGGTTGAAAGCCCCCAATTTTGGAGCCAATGCCAGGAGGTGTTGCAAGTTTTGGAACCACTATTTGAAGTTTATTGTTTGTCTCGTAATACTAATCCAACAATTTCATACTTATATGAAGCGATGGAGAGAGTAAAAGAATCTCTCAAGAGGCTTTCTGACAATAATGATGGCAAATATGAGTGCATATGGAAGCTTTATAATGGCATGAGAGCTAAAGTAATTCATCCAGTGCATGCAGCTGCAGCTTTTCTGAATCCGTCCTACTTTTTAAGTGACAATTTTTATGAGAGTAAAGAAATGAAAGATGGAATCGATTATGTGCTACAAAATATGGTTGCTGAAGAAGAACAAGAAGCTTTCATGGGGCAGGTCCTACAATACCGCAAAAGAGAGTCAAACTTGCTCACATATGCAGCAAAAACAATGTCAAAAGCATCTCATCCCTGTAAGGATTTCTTGTTTCCTTAAATTTCCTCACTATGTTAAAGTCAATCAAGATAAGATGATCTACTCCTACTGTAGCCAAATATTTAGAATCTTTACCTTTCCTCGTTTAGTTTGCAACTTTTGAAGCCCAAATTGTGATTTTTATTTACGAAAAGCCACTATAGAATTCTAGAATTACAATATATCAACCCCTCACAGAGCATGTGATCTGCAAAAGAAATCCTTCCATAAACTTTTTATTGACTGGGATTCTCTATTAATTCTCAATAGACAGTCATTATTTCTTTATTTAGTGGTTGTTTTCTCATGACAGATGAATGGTGGGAGTATTGTGGTGATGGCCTTCCTGTACTTCAAAAGTATGTTCTTCTGATTCTAAGCCAACCTTGTAGTTCCTTTTCATGCTTGGAGTGTCGAAATGCATCAGAAACTACCCAAATCACGAAGTCGAGTGCATTACCTGTCGGTAAGGTGGATGACTCTGTGTACCTGAGGGCGAATACGTTGATGATGGACAAGTTTAGAATGTTGGAGTCAGGACCAATGAAACCTATCAATTTTGCACATCTTAGAGACAACCATGATGATTATGTTGAGCTCGAGCAAGACTGGAAATATAACTCTGCCAATACAGTACCAGAGAGTCGCAGTCGAGGTGACATCGACGGAGCAAGCACATACTGGTAAGGTCACCCAGTTTTTGCTCATAATATTAGTTCCCTCAATTGCTCTCTAGTGACTGTAAGTTACAAGTTCATACATGGCAATCATTTATGAAATGCAGTTTGTTTTTGTTAATTTGCTTTTGACTGGTATCTTGCACAAAGTTTTCTTTTATTCTAGTATCTGTGGTCAAGTTTCCCTTCTTTCATGTCTGCTTGTTTCTTGTTTTGAGACAACTAAGAAAGCATAACGGACTCATATTAATTCCTGAATCTTGCTTAGCTGCCTTACTCCCTTCACAGTGCACTAGTCACCGTTGACCATCTTTTGGTACTGGATAGGATAAGATGGTAGTGCTATGAAATTGGTCCCCTCAAATTTCTCTAAGAATGAACTTTGTCTATTACAGGTTCCCAGTGCACAAACTACCAGCTCTGAAGGAGAAACCTTTTAAACTTCGTTTCATGACCAACCTGCCCCCACACTTATTCACCGAGGCAAAGGTTCAGGGACATCAAGGAACAGCCATTCAAGTTGCTTTGCTAAATCCAGAAACTGGAGAAGTTGTTCAGAGCGGACCAGGATCAACCGCTAAGCTGAAGATTGTCGTATTCGATGGTGATGTTGACAAAGTTGATTGGACAAGGGAACAATTGGAAAGCCACGTATTATCCAAAGGGTGTGAGAAGAGAAAGCCGCTTCTATCTGGCGACTTGCTAGTGACCCTAGAAGGAGGGATTGGCACTTTAGGCGATTTCACTTTTACGCAGGATTCAAGCTGGACAAAGAGTGGCAAATATAGGCTTGGAGTTAAGGTTTCTTGGAGATGCTCTGATGCAGTGCATATCCATGGGACCATATCCGAGGCTTTCACTGTTGAAGATAGCCGTGGAGAATGTGAGTCTTCGAAGCAACTACTGTTTATATAGTCTTTGTTTAAACACATCATCTAAAACAACTCAGACAGCTAGTATCAAGAGTTGCATAGGCTAAAACCAGTGTTGGTTAGAGGCTAGTACTTTCGTTGACATAGAGACTATCACAAGATGAATTTGCTCAACATTGTGGAGACAATGCGACAAAATTAATTGGTCATTCTTATGGTACAACCATGCTAGCAACCAATTCAACTTTGGAGGAGATTTATAATGCTGTACTTAGTTGTGAAGTTTCTGCTTCTTATGCTTTCTATAGTTGCCAAGAAGCGAGTCCCACTTCTACTAAGTGACTACGTCTGGAGACTGGTTGGAATAGCGATGGGTGGACAAGTGCACAAACAATTGACAGGAGCTGGGATTGTCACAGTCCGAGATTTTCTCGCCCTTCTTTCCAGGGATCAATTAAGACTGATAAATGTAAAGTCTCCCCTTTTTGTCCGTTATGTTTCGCCACTGTCACGCCCGTGCCTTATATTTAAATCCTTATTTTTCTTTACTTAGTTCTTGTTGAATTATCTGAATTTCAGATCACGGGTGGTGGAATCTCCAATGCTATGTGGAAACATACTTTGGAGCATGCCATGTCATGTGTCTCCGATGCCAAGCAATACGTTTACTATTGTGATGAAGGCCGATGCAATGCCATTCTTTTCAACTGGAACTATGAGCTCAAAGGACTCATCTGTAATGGACAATTCTTAGATATGGAATCACTTTCCAGCGATCAAAAGGTTAGGCTCAAAGTGTTGCCACAATCTGGATCAGTCTTGATCATTGAGCATGCATATCTGCAAAGAAACCAGCTTACAAGCTCTGAGCATAAGAAAATAAACAAAAAATCACATTGATACTAAATGAACATAATTTTTTAATAAAATAAGGCATGACGTAATGACAATTTGCAGCTTGTTTTAAGTGCGAAATTATAGTAGGGAAACGTCAGTGATCTTCTTATTAGACAGACTTCCTAGGTACTTGCTCTCTGCACTAATACTACCTATGCAATGATATGTTTTGACTTTCCTGTTGAATGTGTAGAAATTTTTCTTTTGAATCCATTCTGCAGATCTACCTCGAATCGATGTCGAAAATTGCCTACCAGAATTATGACCAAATCTCAGAATATTGTGGCAATATGTTCGACTTCGATTCAATGACCAGTTCAAACAACATGTCAGCCTTCACCAGTTATGACACCACCCTATGCTATGTTGGTTGCTCTTTTGGCACTCATCAAAACCTGCAACAATTTGTTTTCCATGAAGCGGGGAATATCGAGAACTGCCTACAAGCTACAGTTTCTGATACCATGAGCTCTATGTCGATGGCAGCTCGTTCTGCTTCAATGACTTCTGATTTTCCAGTTCAAGGTGATATGCTTCTACCATGGAATGAACAGCACCTGGAAAATGTAACCATTCAGCATCTACTAAATAGGTTTCGTTAAATACAGAGATCACTAAGAGACATCTGAGACCGTTGGACATTGGAATATTGCAGGTTCTAATTGGAACTACGAAGAACTGGAAGCCGAGAAAGGCTGCTGTGGAGTGGCTTAAGCTGAAAGCCGCTTTTAGGTGGGCGATAACCATACGAAAGATGGCTGCAACAAGACGGGCCAAGGAGCTGGAATGCTTAGGCCTAATAATACCTTTGATGTTACAACCTTGAGAGTCTATACGCCTCGGGAATTCGTTACAACCTTGGGAGGGAGCCATGTTTAGTGTACTGATATATACGTACTTTTCTTGTATCATCTCAATCAGATAATATATAGTCTCTGTCTGGCATTTTCAGCTACTCAGCACTATTTTTGGCATCATTTCTCTCAAAAAATCAGGTCGTCATTAACTTCTTGGACAAAGCTCTATTGAGAATCAATTCAGATTTCAAGAATCTGCACATGAGCTTGTGGGATAGAGCTCATGATTATTTTTCAAATAATAGTTGCAACAGTGCTTGAATCAGCGAATTACAAAGTTTTCTGTGCATCAATGGCAGAGACGAGGACCATATCATTTCCTATTACCATGAATACTGGCTAGTATCTATGCTTTTTATTTTTAGTATTTAAAAGACTAATTGAAATCAATGTTTCATTAGGGGCCAACATATGTCAAGCGAATGCCCGAAGAAATGTTACCTAGATTTTAAAGGCAAGCTGGTTGGAATAGATCGTCGTGTAAAAGAGATAAACCCAAACGCAGCATAGGTGTACATGTGTTTCAATCTGTCCATTCTTTCTGGAGTCTACGTTGCTTGAAGGGATTTGTGATAATGGGAAACAGAAAAAACATCTCTCCTGCAAGAACAGCTTATTACTGACCTACACGGATGAGAATGTCCCAAGCTCAATTCTTCTGAATGAAGGCAATGACGTCACAAAGCATATTCTCCATTGTCGAAAAGTTTTGATTGTCCTCAACAATGTCGACAGTCCAGGAATAGGAACATTTGCGCGGAAGCTCCAATTGGTTCGGCGCTGGAACCAACAACTTCATTATGACTCACAGTAGTTAAACAGATGGATGAGGATGAAGCTCTCCTACTTTTCAACAAGCATGCTTTCCCTGGGGGACCTCCAGACAAGCTGCCATGATTGTTTGGCCCCAAACGTTATTTCAGTTATTGACAGGTTCCCTCTGACTATTTAGGTTAAGATGTTGACATATCTATCAGAAGAACAAGATCACATGGCTGAGGAAATTATATCTTTGTCTTAAATATTGCCTCAGCAGTAGAATCAGAGAAGCATCTAGGTAGTAGCTATGTGTCCTGGTCTTTCTAATGTAGCCGGTATAACCAGTTCAAAGGATATATGCGGCAGCTGCTTTGAGAAAGGCCTAAAACCTCATTGCTACTAATCCAACCCAATTACACTAGGCATTCTACAGAGCATTCTACGTTACCTAGTCCTAGCCAACAAAGGACTTAAACAGCAAATTGGACATTAAGCATGCTCGTTGAAGTTACTAAAGCCCATTGGAGTCCTATCACAGATTCAAACCATTTACCTTAAGGCGGGCTAGTGCAAAGGCATGGAAATTTACATGCTCCTTGGACCACCTCTGGAGATCTGCAAACAATCACGTTCGCCAACGCGAGCAACTAGTTCAAGGTTGGCCTGCCTCGACACTCCAATCAACAGAAAATTGTGAACGCTGCCAACATAAGCATTGAACACCATCATATCCAAACAAGAATTGATCTAACGTCTGCAACTAGGCTAGAGTATCTAAATGGGTTCTGAAAACTTTATATTGTAATGCAAAATTAAGTAGGCAATAACCCTCAAAACACAGTCGTTCCCAGGAGAAAGGAAAAGGAGGAAAATCTTTTTTTTCTTTTGGTCTGTAAGAGTAGCTCACTGGGTGTCGAATTGAATTGGAAAGTATCAGCTTGAGCAAGCTAGGCTGTTCAGTTAGGGTGCGTATGGTAACGTTTTTATTTCTGGGAACAATTTCTTTTCAGAAATAGTTTTTTCTATTTCTATTTCCCGGAAGAGTTTCTGAGCAAAATAATGCGTTTGGTAACTGCACAAAATTTCTATTTCTAGAACAGAAATGTGTTTGGTAACTGCACAAAATTTCTATTCCTGGAATAGAAAAAGAACAGAAATGCGTTTGGTAACTGCACAAAATTTCTATTCCCAATTTTTTGCATTCAAATCTATATCTTTTATTTAACTATAAGTACAAGTTATAAGTGAAAAAAATCAATAAGCATGATTTTTTGGTTTGTCTAATCCTTTTTAGGGGTTTAAAACCCCTTTTAATCCCTAAACTAAGGAATCTTCAAAAATACCACTTGGGCACCTCAAAAATTTAAATTTCACTCAAAGTGGGTGGCCACAGGTATTCTAAGTCATTATGTGAATTTTTTTATATTTTTTTGGGGTAAAATTTATTAAAATTTTTCACTTTCCCTAAATCTGTTTCTTTTTAATTTTCCGAAAATTTTTTATGAAATTTTTTAAATTTTTTCAATTTCGGAATTTTGCAAATATTTAAGGGTTTCTGAGTTTTTCTGATTTTTATGGATTTTCTGAGAATTTTTTTGATTTATATGAATTTTGGGAATTTTTTAATTTTCTAATTTTTTATGGGATTTTTCTGAAATTTTTCTAATTTTTATGAATTTTCGGAATTTTTTAATTTATTCTAAGCCATTATGTGAAATTTTTATTTTTGTTTTTTTTGGGGAAAAGTTTATTAAAACTTTTCACTTTCCCGAAATTTGTCTCTTTTTTATTTTCCAGAAAGCTTTTTATGAATTTTTTTTAATTTTTTCAATTTCGGAATTTTTCAAATTTTTATGGGTTTTATGAGTTTTTCTGATTTTTATGGATTTTCTGAGAATTTTTCTGATTTTTATGAATTTTTGGAATTTTTTAATTTTTTATAATTTAATTAATTTTTTATAATTTTTTTATTATTTTCGCCGAGAATGGACCGGACCAGTGCTTTGAGACGGTTTGCAGACGACAGAGAATGGAGGAGAAGCTGAGGTCCCGACTTGAGGACTTGACCTTTCTATTTCTATTTCTATTTCTAGGAACAAAGAAATAGATTTTTTCTACTTCTTATTTCTGCTCCAAATCTATTTTTTGGCCACTTTTCTATTCCAGGAAATAGAAAAATAAAATGCGTTACCAAACGAATTTTTATTCTTTTTTTATTCTAGGGAACAGAAGAACAGAAAAATAGAGAAACATAAGCGTTACCAAACGCGCCCTTAGTACTCTGACCAATCACTTTTACCGTTTTGGCCTACTCTCTCCCTTCGGTAGACAGGATTGATCCATTTTCTATGAAGATGACCTTTCTTCGAGTTTTGACTTCAGCTGTTAATAACATAAATCGGTCCGATCCGGGCGGTTCCTGGTTCGGGCGGTTCCACTGCATAGCCCTTCTAGCACCGACAGGGTGCCTACAAAAATCTCTACTCTGTCAGAGATCTTTTTTTTTTTTTTCCTTTCATTCTAAGCTACGCGCTTCACCAAGCACAAGTAGAAAAAAGTCTTGCAGACATTGCTACATGGTTATAGATAATTTTAGAAAAATAGATTGGATTTGGCACTCCGCTTTTTGATGATAAAGATACGGAATTTTGTTAAAACTCGGATACCGATTGATTTGATGGCATAATTTTATTCGCATGTTCAGATCTAAACGGCCATTGTCAATTTAGCAAATCTATCTTAGTTTAGTTTTTTTTTTAGCGTGGCTGACATTATCCTAAAAAAATATAAGTAAGTGGACGGAGTTTTATCTAGACAATAAAAATCAGGGACCGCGATATTTTTTTGGTCAATCCAAGCGAAAGATATTTCGATTTGCAAAAATATTATCGTCGCACGGTACGAGCAGCATTGAGAATTTCAAATTCTTATTAATTGATTTCTCATTAAAATACCCAATACAAGAAGCTCATAAATAGAATCCTCTTTTTCTTTTCGGAAAATAAAAGAAAGAAATCTTAAATCTTAACCTTAGAAAAATGACGAAAGAAGAGATGTACAGAGGAGACGCTGATATTGGGCCCAAGAAGGGCCTCGACGATTTCTTCAACTCCTCCTCCGGTCGGCCATTTCGACAGGAAGGGAAAAGCCAACGGGGAGATTAGAGCGAAGGAATGAAGGAACGACCAGGCGAAGGAGGAGATGGAGAAGAGGGGAAGAGGAGCGACGAGCCATTCCCACGGATTGATCGCTCTCCTCGTGTCTTCCGGAGTCCAAATCTGACGAATCCGATCCGGCATTGGCCGCCTCGTTCGATCTCGTCGGAGATTCGGAGTGCGAGGCTGAAGGAACTAGGCGAAGATCGGGGAACATGCTTCGAAGAGCGTCGGACCTTCCTCTCGCGGGATATTGAAAGCGCGACGGAGCCGTTTAGCGGCTCGGCTCTTGTTCTGGATTCCGAGGGGGAGAGTAAACAAGTTTCTTTCTTCAATTGGGTTTTGGCAATGTGCCGTTACCGGCTTGTATCTGGTGTTTTTTTTTGTTGGGAAACAAGTGCATGTCATTCGTACCGTAGAAACTGAAAGTTACACTGAGGGTGAGGGTGTGTTTGTTTTGGTAAAAGAGTTTTTCCGAAAAGTGTTTTTCGGATTTTCATCCATTTGGCTCTTTGAAAATGATTTGATCAACGGAAAATACTTTCCAGTCAACACAAATATCATATTTAATTTTAGGAAAGTGAATTCCGTAATCTAACAAGGTGAAAACACTTTTCGAAATTGTTCATCTTGAATTTGTTATTATTTTTTTCTTTTCTTTCTAAGAAAGAAAACATTCATGTATTTTCTTTTCTTAATAAAAATAACAAATAAGTTGAAATACTTTAAAAAATATAAATTTTTTTGATAATTTTCACCATTAGATTTTTCTCACCAAACAATTGTAAATATTTTCCAAGTCTTTTTTAGGTTTTAGCCAAATATCGAAAAATGAACTCATTTTTCTAGAAAATGATTTCCTGGAAAGCATTTTTCAGAAATGATCTATTTTCCGCAAAACAAACGCATTCTAAGTGGGCTTCAGAGCATAATAAATTCCAAAGAACCTAAGAGGGACATTATGGGCTCGGGCTCGCGCTCTCACTACCCAATTGGCAACCTTGTTTTGGGTTCTTACACACTGGGCCAAACGAAGGCCTTTAACACTGATAAGTAGTAGGGGTGAGCACGATTTCAAGATAGAACCGAGAATCGAAGAACCGAACCGGCGGATCCAATTCGATTCTCGATTCTAGGGTGGGAGGTTCCGGTTCTCGGTTCTAATTTTTTAGGAACAGGAAGCCACTAAGAACCCTAACTCTCTTTTTCTTCCTAAATTTCCCCTCGCTCGGTCGCTCCTCCATTGCGCTCTCTCTCCCACTCCCCACACCCACAACTCGACGAGACCCTCTTGCCTCTCCTCGCATTGCTCACCACAGCGAAGAAGAGAGGGACGCTGTCGATGGTGCCATCGTCGTCTTCGTCTCTTTGTCTTCCATGGCCTTCTCTCTCGGTCCAACCCCGAAACCGCCGTTCCTTTCACTCGCCGCCCCCTGCTTCGCGGTTCCCCGGATGCGGACCGTCCGTACATCCTCATCGCCTCTCTTCTTCTTCTTCTTCTTCCGAGCTTTCAAGGACGGTGAGGCTCGGATGCTCTTCGCAGAGGCCATCGCCCAACGAGAACGAGCTCGAACTCGAAGTCGAGCAGCTGTTCTCGAATCTCAACCGGGCCACTCTCAAGCAGGAACCTAGTATGGTATCCTCCGACCTCGCGCGGCATGCACGATTCTTAGCAGCTGCATTGTCCAATGTTGCTTTTTACTAGTGTGACGGCATTCGTGTTCTTGTTTTGCTGTTTTCAAGAAGTTTGTCCAGTGTGATTTTTATGGTGGCAGGCACTACGGTAAGGATTCGATTACCGATTTGTGTGCAATTTCTGCAGTGATTGGCCTAAGTTAGCGTCGCGTTGTGTGCATAGTGAATTTCGTACGTAGGTTATGTTCAATTTTGTCTGGATCATGGACTCTCTGATAATCTGATCTCTTACTGTCCGATGCAAATTCTGGGCATAACAAATTGCTTGTTAAGTCTGGTCGTATTTGTCGAGGAATTATAGCGGCTCATTCTTGCTGTGATGTTTGCTTTAATGATTCGAAATTTGATAGGTAGGAGCTGGGATTCTCGCCATACCTACCGTGACACGAGAATCTGGATTCATAGCTTCTGCAGTTACTTGTGTTTTTTGTTGGATCTTCATGGTAATAATTTGTGTGATACTTTGTAAACATATTCACATTGTGAATTTTTCTTTTTCTTCTTTTGTGAACTGTCGCGATCGACCTCTGATTTTTATTTTCAAAAAACGACGAGGGTCTCACCTGGTACGCGCTAAGTCTAAGTTCGGGAGTTAACTCAGACTTCTCCCAAGCCCATACCATATCGCGACTTAGGAGTTTAGGTTTTTAACCTGCAAATGATTTTTATCTAGGAGTCGCCACTAATCGATTTATGGTGGGTCGATTAGACACACAAGCAAAACAATGGGAGAATTGCTTACTTCTGCGAACCAGAGATTAAATGAGTTCGAGGACTTGGTTACACTAGTTAAATAACTCATGCCCTTTCGGTACATTTTTACCTTGTTCATTTCAGAAAATATTTGTCAGGCAATTTAGATTGATTTTAGAACATTTCTCCTAACATGTAAGGTAATTAAGCGAGTGCACAATCATTATTGATTAGAAGTCAAGAAAGATATGCAATCTACGGTTCCAACCCTAACTAAGGGGACAACATTCAAAACATAACAATTTATGCAATTATACTCTAATTAAAAACACAATATGCATAATAATAATACAACAATGGTGAATATAACATGCAAAGTCCTACTGCATAGTTTTATAGTTCTATTTGATTTAAAACATGACAATTTATGTAATTATATTTTAATTAAAAAAATGTATAATAATAATACAACAACAATTTAAAACATTAAGATATGTCGCATAATTTAAAAAAATGTTAGACAATATTTATATCTAAATTATATCTTAATTTTAAAAAGGAAATAAAAAAATTCGAAATTTTTAATTAATTTTTTTAAAAATAAAATAATATTTTTTAAATAAAATAATAATATAATATTAAAACCGGATCGATGGACCCAGTCCAATTTGCTGGTCCGACCCGGACCATAGATATAAAATGAGCTCTAGTTGGCTCATTTTATCTGCCAAATGATAGACCTACCTTGACATCGTCTAAAATTATATGGTCTCACTTAAGATCCAAGTCAGTAGCACTTTATAATTGTTTGTGCGATTTGTCATTATTGGATAGATTTTAGAGACATTATGGGGAATTTTCTATATAAACATTGTAGCCACCGCTTGGATGAATGAAGTGACTCTAATCATGCCTTGGAATTAAAGTCATGTGTTGCATCTCAATAATTATTATTTGTATGTTTTATCCCCTTTCTATTAAGTGAAATGTTACTTTTCAGTAACTAGTCATTGTTGCGTTTATTTTCGTTTTGTTTAACTAAAAATAAAATTTTAAAAAAAAAACCTGTTAGAATCTGAAATCGACCCTAGCATCTGTGACAAAGTAGGTTTCATGTTTTACGTTCGAACGGATAGGTTCTAGATTTAAAAAAATGAAGAATCTATATTCGATGACGGTAGATTTCATGTTTCAAGTGAAATCTTTGAGGAATTTGTAACCGCTCGCTTCTGATAAGCAGCGGGTGGCATTCCCTGATAAGCGCTTGGACTTCCCAACAAACTTGATCAGTGCCTTCGGGCATTCCACGTTTTCTAACTCTTGTTCTCAAACCCGCTTCAACGCCTGCAGCAAAGCTAGGGTTTCGGCATGGAGGGCCGATCGGACCTGCGCTGCACTCGCGGAACCGTCGATCAGCTTCCCGGAGGAGTCCCTGCACACCCAAGAGACAGCGCCGGTACTCTCACTCGCCGAGAACGAGCCATCAACGTTAATTTTGAGCGTCCCCGAGCGCGGCGGGATCCATGACTTTGGTAAGCTCTGCTTTCTCTTTCCTTTCCCTGTGGTTTTCGAGTTCCAGCGAGTGATATTATCGTTCAGGGCACACGCTTCAGTAACTACTTTTATCGGATCTGGGATTTTCTGTCTGAAGACAAATTCATTCCGCGCCTTCCAGATTTGCCACATAATCGTTGTGATTAATTCCAGGTTTGGCGGTTCTTCTTGTGAGTTCTTGTAGTTCAAGAGCCATTGTTCTATTCGATTAAGGGCCGTTTGATTCGGCTTCGGGGGAATGCATTTGGGGGAACGCAAATACCTTTGGCTAAAGGGGTTTTTCGAAATACAAGTAGCTAGATAAGTGTTTTATAAAATCAACTTGGGCTAAAGTACTTTTGCTATTTTTTTTTTTTTAAAAACTCCGGTGGAGCTACATTGCCGGCCACCGCCTCCGGCCAGATCTGGTCGCCGGCCAACCGCCGACGGCCAGATCTGGTCGCCGGCGACCACCGCCTGGGGTCGCGCGACCCCGGCGACCGCCGCCTGGGGTCGCCGGACCTCGGGCGTCGCCTGGGTCTCGCGACCCAGGCGAAGCGTTGCCTGGGTCGCGCGACCCAGGCGACCGCCTGAGGTCCGGCGACCCCAGGCGGCGGTCACCGGGGTCGCGCGACCCCCGGGCGGTGGTCGCCGGAGTCGGGCTAGCCCTCAGGCCGGACGTCGGTTTGGGGAAGATGAACAGTGTCGATGAATAGTGCAAGTTGTATTCGGAAAATGCAACTTCCCAAAGCACCTTCAGAGGTGCATTGGCCAAAGGTCCCTTGGCCAGCATTCCAAATGCAATTGCATTTCCCCAAAGTGAGTAAAAAAAATTGCCAAACGCCATTTGCATTTGACCAAGGGACTTTAGAGGCCAAATGAGCATTGGGAATGCTGAACCAAACGGGGCCTAAGCCCCTGACTGGAGACATGGATGTTTACCCGCAGATCTGACCATAGTGCTTTTGTCCACGGGCAGAGGAGGATCAGGTGCTCGATGGTTTCGCTGTTTAGCCGGCAGAAGGGGCAAGAGGAATCAGGTACTATTTTCCGTTTGAGTAGATTTTTCTTTGGTAGGCAATGCATTTTGACAGACATTCCATAGGAACATTTTCAGCTTTGGTGAGCTGTTTGGATTCCATATTATATTCCGAAGTTCTGTTGGGGTTTGGTAGGAGGAGGATGGTTGCTGTATGCGTGCTGTGGGTTCTGTCTGTCTGAGGACATTGTAGCCATTTTTCACTGAGTATTGACCCGATTTGGTTCGTGTCCAGACCATTCTATCAGCTTCAATAAAAGTAGGTAGAGGGATAGAAACTATCTCCTTTACTACTCTGTCCTCCAACCACCGTCGCATTTCCTTTTCATCCCAGGAACATGCATGTTTGTTTATAAGAGCTGTCACATATTCTGGTTCGTCGCGGTTCGCTGGGGCGCCAATCACACCTGAAGGGAGCCATCTGTCTTCTCTGATTTTAATGGACTGTCCATTTCCGACCGACCACAATACTGAGTTTGAAATTGTGTCCCTTCCCATGATTAAGCTCTGCCAGCCCCAGGATGATCTAAATCTTTTCCCCGCATGCCAAAAGTCAGTGTGTGGAAAGTACAAACCTTTTAATACTCTACTCCAAAGTGCTGATGGAAACTGGGAGAATCTCCAGGCTTGCTTACCAGCATTGCCTTGTTAAAAGTAGTTAAATCCCTGAATCCTAAGCCTCCTTTGTCCTTTCTAGTTTTGAGCAGCTCCCATCTCCTCCAGTGTATTCCAGTTTTTGATTCTCCATTTTTCCACCAAAAGGCAGCAATCCTCTGTTCTATGGCTCGACATATTGATAATGGGATTTTGAAAATTGACATCACATATTGCGGTTATGCTTGAATCACGGCCTTCAGAAGGACCTCCTTTCCTGCCTTGGACATCAAATTTTCTTTCCACCCTTCTAATTTCATATTTACTCTAGCCAAAATCCATGCAAACATATCCTTCTTTGAGGCTCCCCAATCTGATGGGATACCTAGATACTTTCCTGTTTTTTCTATTTCCGGGACTTGCAATTCTAGGGCCATGTTCTGTCTCAAACTCCAAGGACAGCCTGCGCTAAAGAAGATGCCTGACTTATTCAAGTTTATAGACTGGCCCGAAGCATAACAGTATTGGTTTAGCACATCAGCCATATTCTGACATTCGCTGACTTTCCCATCCAGGAAAAAAATGGAGTCATCGGCAAACAATAAATGAGTTAGTGTTGGACAATGTCTGTTCAATTTTATACCTCTTAGATTCCCCATGTCAGTAGCTTTCTTCACGAGCAAAGATAGAACATTGGCTATGAGTATGAATAAATATGGGGAAAGAGGGTCTCCTTGCCTGATTCCTCTTGATGGCTGAAAGTATGGTAGTGATTCACCATTAAATTTGACACTGAAAGATACCGTTGTGACGCATTGCATGATCCAAGATACCCATTTTCTGTGAAACCCCATTTGCAACAAGCAAGCTTCCAAGAAGTCCCATTCAATCCTATTGTAGGTTTTCTGCATGTCTAGTTTCAAGATAGCTTGAAACTTCTTCTTTCTTTTTCTGATATGAAGCTGGTGGAGTACCTCTTGTACAACCAATATATTATCTTGGATTTGGTGGCCAGTTATGAAAGCACTTTGCTCCTCTTCTATTAAGAAAGGAAGCCAATGTTTCAAACGATTTGCTAACACCTTTGAGATGATCTTGTACGTGAAATTGCACAGACTAATGGGATGGTATTGGGTGAGATTTTCTGGGTTTGGGACCTTTGGAATGAGAGCAATAAGTGTCCTGTTAATCTCAGGTTCAAAAACACCACAGTTCATGAAATCTTTGACGAGCTTTAATAAATCTCCCTGAATATCCCCCCAATGATGCTGCTAAAATTGTCTGTTAAGTCCATCTGGCCCCGCCGCTTTCGAGGCTCCCAATTGAAAAACTGCGTCCTTAACTTCTTGAAGAGTGACTTCTGCAGTCAGCATATTATTCATTTCCTCATTCACAGTGGTGGTGCACTGCTCAAGAACAGGAAGAAAGTCGCAGTAGCCCACCGATGTATATAACTCCTTGAAAAAATCTGCAGTAGCCCGTTTGAGTCTACTAGGATCCCTACTCCATTCCCCTTCTGACATTCTCAGCATTGAAATTTTGTTCCGTTGCCTTCTTTGAATCGTAGTTGCATGGAAGAATTTAGTGTTTTTGTCCCCCCATTTCAGCCACGTAATTCGAGACCTCATTCCCTAGTACATTTCTTCTTGCCTCCATAATTCTTGAATTCTATTTTTAAGCTGTCTAACTCTCTCGCTATCAACCTGTTGCTCGGTGTCATTTGTAATCTGCTGAAGTTCCAGTTTTAGAATATTAATTTGCCGTTGTGTATGGGAGAATTTTTTCTTACTCCACACTGTTAGGGCCCTGGAGACTCCTTTCAGTTTGCCCAGTAATGCTGGTTTTCCTGAGTTGTGGCAGTCCAGGCTTTCTTAACAACCTCACCGTACTCCTCATCCTCAGCCCAATAAGCTTCATATTTAAAATTTTTCTTTTGTTTGACTGCTTCAACTTCAAAAGTCAGTAAAATCAGACTATGATCTAAGCCTATAGCCGGCAATGCATAAGCTTCTGCAGATGGAAAAGATACCTTCCAGTCCATATTACATAGGATGCGATCCAATTTTTCTTTGACAAAAGCCTCCCTCTCTTGATTATTAGCCCAGGTAAATGCGCACCCTTTGCATTCAAGATCCATCAGTGAACATTCATTTACAAAGTCCCAGAAAGCCACCAATCTATAATATTTGGCCATCCTTCTCCCAACTTTCTCCCAATGATAAAGAATTTCTTTGAAATCCCCTAAACAAATCCATGAAGGTGATTTAGGGAGCTTATGTGCTTCAATTCCTCCCATAGTCTCAATCTTTCTCTGAAGTTATTTGGTGCATGCACACAGGTAATTCTCATAGGTATCTTGCACTCTATATCATTATATACCACATCGATGAACTCATCAGAGAAGGACTGCACTGTGACAGACACCCCGCTACTCCACATGACCGCCAAACCTCCTGCTATACCCCTAGGATTAACCACAAAACAGTGTTGGAATTTAAGCCTGTGTTTTAGCCGAACCACCACTTGCTGCTGATTTTTTGTTTCCATAAGAAATAACACCTTGGGCCTTTCCTGAGTCACATGGACTCTTAAAGCTTGAATTGTCATAGGTGTGCCCAACCCTTGACAATTCCAACATAAGAGCTTCATTTGTATCCCGGTGGCTTATTAGGGCTAGCCATTAAAGCCCAATCTCTAGAGTTTTTGAGATTTGGATCAGATTTTCCAGTATATAGTATTGTTCAACGGGGAAGGGTAATTTTCCATAGGAAAGTAGAGAATGTATCTCTTCACTTTTTTGTTTACCTAAGAATTTGTGTCCCTGCTGTTTTTTTGGTTAACAACCTCACCATACTCCGTCTCTCGATTATTAGCCCAAGTAAATGCGCACCCTTTTCTTAACAGCCTCACCGTACTCCTCATCCTCAGCCCAACGGGGAAGGGTAATTTTCCATAGGAACGTAGAGCTTGTATGTGGTTGTTCAGTCTGTTTTCTGTGAATTGGGAGTGTTGCGTTTCGGATTCGGCTGCGATGTTTTGGGGTGCTCTTTTGGTTAAGATAATTGACATGAATGGGTTGATTATGGGCTTAATGTGGTTGTGAGTTATGGTGGATTGGTGTTGAGAACGGTAGGAGCCATTAGACTGCTTTGATCGAAGTCTAATGTTGAAAAGATTTCTCCTGGGAAATTTCAGGCGTTTCGGGCATGGGGTTTCTTTGGGTATCTTACCTACAATCCATCCCTGTATTGTGAATTGGAGCAACCCCCATCGCCCAACCATGCTAGTGTACTTTTGCTGCTACGCTACTCTTCAAAGGCCGCACAAGCCTCCCAACAATGCAATCGTTTATGTACTCTCTCTCTGATTTTTGATCGCTTGTAGGTTTTCTGGGGTAGCGATGTGTGAGAAATTTCAGTGAACTCTGCTTCTGCTTGGATTCATTAAGGTAACAACCACTCTCTTTCGCTTGCTTCCATGTCTATCCATGCACAAACGAGTGAAACTCTCTCTCTCTCTCTTCATGAATGTCGCTTTGTTCACGAATCTCTTTCCTCTGTAAGATCTAAAGCCAAATAAAAAGACTTTAGATTGTGTGATGCGCAATCTAAAGTCTTTAGTTTGGATGTTCAGTCATTAAGAGTAATAAAAAAGATTAAGGATTCGTAGAGATAGTTATCATAAACAGTCCGCAGCTCTCTTAAACATTTTTAGCTGAACTCAGATAGAGTTTGAAGTTTCAATTAGCCAACATTAGCTTGCACCTGGTTTCAATATAATTTGGGAGTCTAATAATAGTCTGGTGCGTGTGGTTTGGCTGGGGATGAGATGATTAGGAAAAGGGACAGATTTTGGGAGTATGCAGAGCAATTAGGTGGGGTTGAGTGACACTTAGCTTGCATCACCGAACGTGACGTTGGTACATGTGCCAAGCTTCCTAAGGATGTTTCTATAGCTTTTGAAGCAATTAGCCCTCATAATAGGAAAGATAAGAAAGATAAGAGTCTGTCTCAACCGACCACTTCAACACCACTTCTAGACGTCCAAATAATCGACACTCCATAAACATCTTTAGAGAAAGGGTGCGATTGCGTAGATAAGTTGCTTGCAAAACATGTTATTTTCAATAACATTTTTGGAAATGTAGAGTTCACATTTTGCGGGCTTCTTGCACAAGTTGCAAACTACGAGCACAATTATGAGTTGCCTTCTTATTCCGTTCTCACAAGTTTATCCCCAAATTGAGTATGGAAGTCGGTCAATATGTAAATGGTGTCGAGAAATCATGTGCTTTAACGAGATGTACGGTAATTCTAGATGGTTGGGTTAAAGTTCACGGAAGAGCCTACTTGAACAACATTTTATATTCTTTAAAGAGTGCAAGCCTTGTGAATACCATTGAACTTTCGAAGAATGAGTTGACAGATAGGTCTATTGTGGATCAATTGCAATTTGCAATGGATGAAATAGGACTTCACAAAGTTGTATAGTTTATCACTAATGATTTGGGTAACCACGAGCCCCTCTGGAAGACACTTATTCGAAGGTATCCAGGTACCCCTACATGACGTTTTGTGCTGCTCACGGCATTCAGTTGCTTTTCACATATATCTTTCAAGAGGTTGAATGGGTT